CACACACACACACACACACACACACACACACACACACACACACACACACACACACATATATATATATATATGGAGTTTTGAATATCTTCTATTCACCACAGTGAATATTTATATAGAATTTCAAGAATTTGTAGCAACTGTGCTTTACAGAGAAGCGAGACTCGTAGATTCTTTGAGTTACAAAAAACATCGAAAATATTGAGAATTTCTAATCTAGGCTTATTTATGTGGACAGAAACTTGCATTGTTTTTATTAAGACATGGTGTTCATTAACATTTTTGTATCATATGCGAATGACATTTATTTACATCAAAATTTGAAAGGTCATGAATAGTTTGCAAACATTCCAAGATAGTTTCCCCGAAAGAGCACCGAAGGCCGCCTGGAGGGGGTCACCTGTTTTAACCACTCGCACCACTATGCAGTAGTGTGTTGTCTGTCAGTCAGTTAGTAGACACTAAAAAGACATCACATAAGGGACGTTTAACGTGACGTCAGTAAAACGTGAGCAGGCCATGAATCATGAGAAGAATTATGCACTCTGTAGGCTACAACACAGCATGTCATATGAACTTGAAAAGCAGGAAATAAAAATATTTGTTAATCTTAATTTTTTCATTATTTACTCTTGAAACTGAACACTTTCCGGGACCCTTCGCAAGTACATCTAGTATAAAGGCATTATATTTGAACAGGAATATTGGTAAACTAAGGACAAGAAACAGACACAAAACTAAAGTGAAATGTTATTATTTGGAAAACAAACTATAGAAAACAATCATTTTACAAAGAGCACGTTATTAGGCAGAATGGATACAACAACACGTTTATATTAACGACTATTACAATACGTCAGTTGACTCGAGCATAATTAAAATTGCAAAAAGTGAAACAAGTCGGAGAAAATACGCCTACTTACTAATAATCCTGACACATTTCCTTATACAAGTTCAAAGCTCGTAATAAGTGCTTAATTTAACACTGTACCGCTGACTAGGATAATTGTACAGAAGAAAGGTAAAATTCGAGGAAAACCAACCCCAAATAACCAAGCGTTACATTGTAGGAGATGAAGAAAGGGGGTAGACAGTTTTAGTACATACTAAAATCTAATATTTGAAAGTGACTATTGATTAATGTTGACGTCGCTTGGAGTCGCTTGTAGGTTTCAAAATGTACTCATTACTACTTGAAACCATTTTTGGAGATGTCAGGGGCAAAGCTAAGTCCCTATATTTCTTGGGAAGGGGGATAGCTGAATGATTGATTTTTTTCAAAAATGGATCTTGCCAGGGTGTGGACATAGTACGTTCAAATGATTCAATTAGGAATTTTATCACCTTTTGCCGGACATTAACCCTGGGAGATGCACATATTTCTCAAAGATTAGTAAGAAATTGTCTTTCCATATCCATCGTTTACCCAAATGATACAACAAAACCTTTAATCCGCCATTGAGATTCAAGTGTTCACCTAATTCGAACACGTTCTAGACATCGCGAGTCATCCATGAGACGACAAACGTGCTCAATCATTTTTTGAGATAGCCTTCTTCGTTTACGCACTAAGATGGTGATCTTCATTTAACTCTTGTAAGTTCTTGCATAAGCTTATGTGATTATAGCCTAAGGGTCGGCGTGGTTTGTGATTAACGTGTCCAGACTGTAAGTTCGAGAATTCATGGTTTGCGACCTGATGCTGCAAAAATTCGCTTCCTAATTTTCATGCCGTGCGCATGAGTTGCGAAAGTGACTGGCAAATTCAACTTTTACTTTGGACAAGAGTAGCCCAAGAATTGGCAGTGGGTGCTGATGAAAGTTTAAGGACAGCTTTTCGCTGATAGTTCTTGTATTACTTTGCGCAAACATTGAAACGTGTATATTGAATGCAACTAGTATGATGACAACTTACAGTAATTCAACTTTTAAAAAAAAACGTATATATATTTTACTTTTTTAAATTCATTTACAGGAAAGTATTTTTAATTTTGGTCCCGAAATTTCACTTGAAAGATATAATACTTGAAGAATGGGGCTATTTTTCTTGCTTAATCTTTTTATTTTTAGCTATTCAGTCTAGGCACATCAAATCAACTGATGATTCTGAAGTAAAATGGTTTTAATAACCTATTCATTTGTAAGTTTACATATGAAATTGTGAATATTAACGTTATAAAATATTAGTGTGTGAAAAAGTGAAATGTGTAAGTTAAGAGAGTAAGTTTGGGTACACGTTTTATTTACTGGCATTTTTCTTTTCGATTACAGTTTCAAAATGTTTGATGGTTGCAGAAAAGCTATCAGATATGCCATGTTTACAGCCAATTTATTAATCTTGGTGAGTATAATGTATCAATTGATAATTCACATTGTCCGTTTCTTGTGAAAGTTTACACAGAGCTTATTTTTTACTTACCTTAAAAATGCCCCATTTTACATTTATCCACTTGGACCTTATTTTAAAGTCTACCCTTTTTAGTTCAATCTGTAGTCAGAATGATTTGGCTGAAAAATAAATACGAGTCGTTAAACCTAACATGAGATATTAAGTATATCCTTGACCAAACTCAATTCAAGGACAAGGCTTGATTAAGAGTTTCCACCCCCAGCGACAAGTCTGAGGGCTTATATCGCTAAAATCAGGTTTCGATACCCGTGGTGGCTAAAGCACAGATAGCACATTGTTGAGCTTTGTGCTTAAATTCGAAAATGAACAATTGTTTTTGAGACAAACTGTACTTTTTATGTACTTGGAAGCAACCTTGAGGCTGAGTAGATATTATATAGGAACAACAATGTCTGGAGATCTATCCATAAAAGTCCTCGCTCATCCTATTTCAAAAGACCACTCCATACCATCTAGGTGTAGCCACTATAATTGGCTGATCAGATATATAATAGAGAGATGGGTGGGTAGTCAAAAAATAAGTCTCTTTAGAAATATTAAATTATCTTTCGCTTTTCCAATGATTTTGGAAGGAACATTAGCCCGGTGGTTTAACGCAAATGATATAATAGAAGCATAGACTAAGTCTTAGAGTGAATTAATTACAGGAACTTCGTTGTAAATTGTATTAATGTAGCAAAGGCGCTATATTTGACTTTTTTTTTTTTTAGTAAGTGGCATATATATATAATCATGCCACACAAAGACTTTCACTGTGTTAGTCTTAGTTTTCACTTATTTACTCACAATGCACCAGACAAAGCACAGGATCTCCTCTCTTCCAATCGTGGAGTCCTGTAATTAAATAAATTTGACTTTTAAAGAAAACCTCCAATGATTTTACTTGTGTATTTGTATAAACTAAGTGGAACTTGAAATCGTGTGTGTGTGTTAATAATAAATCGACGGCTATTGTTACTCCAGGAAATGCTAATTTATTGGGTAAAATAGGAGTTTCAACACCCCCTAGATAAAGAAAACACTCAAGTTGACCGAAGTGAGCACTCCAAGAAATTAACGAAACACTCACTCTATGGGCAATTCAATAAAATATATAATTCACTGCGTAGTTAAAGGCTTAAACTTTTTTATTATAACCACACATTATCTATGGCTCGTTTGTAACATTCCTGTTTTTCTTCTCTATCCAGGTTGGCGGGATCGTAGTTTTTGCCATAGGAATATGGACGCTAGCAGACAAGGCGTTCATGGAAAGACTTCTTGGCAGTAACCTGTACGTCAGTTCCGGTGCTATTCTTATTGCCACTGGTTTAATAGCTGTTATTATAGCTTTTCTAGGATGTATGGGGGCACTGAAAGAAATTAAATGTATGCTTTTAACGGTAAGTATTTGTAAAGAAAGTAGAGATGGTGAGAGTGAAAAAAAAAAACGAATGTATGGGCATAGAATATTTTTGTGCGCTTTTAGAGCTTGTTAGAATAATAAAAATATAAAACTAGAAAATTTAGAAAATCCTGATTTTTATTTTCTTTTGATAAAAATGAACTTGTTGCGATGTTGTAATGATAACATCTACGTACAATTATTTTGTCCAGGTTTCAGTCAATACGTTCTTTGTTTTTATGTTTTGATTAGTTCATTCACTTAAAATCTAAAGTTAAAGCGTAAAAATTTAAATAAACCATCGTTTGGTAAAACACGTTTGTTAGAGACCTAGTGTTCCAGCCTGTTTAATCAGATGGCTCGCAATGCGTTGGTTCGTTGATCAGTAATTAATGGTACAGATGGGGCCAAAACTTCGGGTCAACTGGTTTGAGGATTTCTTTGTAATTTTGAAGATACCTTTCATCTCTTACGTTTTCAGAAACGGTTAAAGTTATTTCCATAAAAATAAAATTTGTTTTACTATTTTATATCTGTTGTTGAAACACTAATATATTGTTTTGTCTTCAACTCACAGGTGTAATATTTTTCAGTAAGTGATTTAAAGCAATGAGACACTTAACGTAGCAATTTAATCGAAAAAAATGAAATGTGTGTGTGTTGTGTGGGTGGGGGGAGGACAAACATATTGTTGGTTACACACGAATAAGTACAAATGTATTGAACCTGAAGTTTTCATGACCAGGGTCTATATCCTCTTGAATCTCAAAGTTCGTTTTTAATGGCTTAATCGTATAAATGCTAGAATTATCTCATCTACCTGATCGAGGACCATGTATGATAAATAAAGTTTCTTTTATTTATGATTGGAGGTCAAATAACTTTAAATATTCGCTTGTTTTTCATACTTTATATTCCAGGTTACGATAATTTACATGCCTTCTCAATGGCTGATGTCTTATATGCTGACTTAAGTTTTTAATTTTAATGAATTAGGCTTAGATATCACACAAAGAATACGGTTTTTCTCCTTGATTAAAGGTGCGACTAAAAAAAACATACATCAAGTCTCATTTGAACGTAATTTATCCTCTTTTAAACACCGTTTTATGTTGCAACCATTCTTATGAAATAAATTTTGTTCAATTTGTAACATTTTATGAGTTTAACAATGTTATCATCAGTTGTAAATATTTAAGTCTTTTGATTTGGTCAAATTTGGAATGTGTTCACAGCACTGGCTTGGCCAGATCTTGTTTGTTATTTATAGGAGCTTTTGAATTGAAAGTCTTGGATTTGGACATATCTTTAAATTTAGCGATTATATCTTATTTAATGGAAATTTTATTGGCCAAAAACCATTCAGTAGACTGTTCTACAATACTTTCATGTTATATTGTAAGGATCCCCCCCAGTCTACTCACTTAACGATAACAAACTATGTTTTTCACAGAGTCTGCTTGTTTGAGGAAAGATTCAAGAACACCTAGCGTAGATATTTCAGGGTTGAAAACTGAGAAATCAATCTACTAGTAATACGTAGAAGTGAAAATATCACTTAAACGACAAAGTAACTGTTTATAGATGAACAATATCTACAGTAGATATTGGTACACGTTTCAGTTTACTGGAAAGAGTAAATTACCAAATACTGATTACCTTAGTTAATGTTTATAGATTGTTGTCACTGTTGGGGAAATATTCAGTGAAGGTTTACATAAAAATTTAGCGATCAACATGTAACCGAGACTTTTAGTAATTTCTAACCTGATATTTTCACTTTATGTATTATCAAACTTGTAGAATGTGAGACACTATTTAATAAGATATTTTTTTTTTCAGTTCTTCATTATCCTTTTAATGATATTTATCACAATGCTTGTGGGTGGAATCCTAGGCTTCGTCTTCAGAAATGAAGTAAGTTCTTTGAATATGTGAAATAGTTAATAGAATATAATGGTAAAGAAGAAAAATGGCATACACGTTAATTTACACAACCGGAAGCCCCAACATTAACGTTCAATAGCAGAAGGGATGGTTTGCTAAATAAACTGTTTGGTTTGGAATTCTATGTGTAACAGTAATCCTTTATCCTATCGATTGTTTATCCTGTCAGTGTATCACCAAATATTATTTTAATCACGACATGTTTGTTGATCTAGTGCTTAGCAAGCTTGAACTATGAATCCGTAGATTCTTGGTTCGCATCTGTTTACCGCAAAAGCAGATTTTATACAGGGGTGTGGTCAAGTCCCACTATTCGATCAAAGAAGAATAGCCAAAAATTAGACGGTGGGTGCTGTTCACTAGTTGCCTTTTTTCTACTGTTAGTTCAGAATTAATGACAATTATAGCGCTTTGTGTAGCTTTACCCGAAAAATCTGAAGCAACCAAACAAACACTCTTTGTTTAAATAAACGTATCTTCTTTTCTAAGTTGTATGCTTTTTTGTTGACAACTTACGGTGAAGTTTAACTAGTGCTATTTACTGTTCGTTTAAAAATATTAAGCTATTATAAACGATGTATAATTCTTTACATTAAAAAAACAAACAAACTCGAAGTTTCATTACTATCAGGGGTTTTATTGTTAGTCAACTTAGAAAAGTTAACCATCATTACTGTAAAAAAGTGAAAGGAAGTTATGTTACAATGAATTTCACTTTCACCAGAGATTGATAAGTTTTTAGTGTTTCGTAAACTGTTGGTCTAAATGGACGAGGCAACATGCTTTGCTCTAGCAAATAAGCTGTAACATTTGTATAAAGTCGAGATATGAACCAAAATCAATCTATGCTTTGCTTGACATCAGTGAGAATTATTATTAGATTCATGCTTCTATAAGTAACAATAATAAAATCTTGCATTAGAAATATATGCACGTGCTGGGTTATATAAAAAACCTTTACCTTGAATCTCACACCTTAAACTATATCGAAAATTAACCCCTTAGTGACCAGACATTTTTGTACTTACCTAGGAACCCAGGAAAAAATTCGAAAATTTT